AGTACAATGTTATTATTCTTTTGGGATCCTTACCGGATGAGGAGTATGATACCTTCGTGCTTACCTTATTGAACGGGAGATCTTCTATCACATATAATGAAGTTACTAATGCTATGATGAACTATGATTTGAGGAGGAAGGACAATGAGACTTCCCGCGTTAGTACTTCAGGAGAGGTCTTGTCGACAAGAGATAGAAGCTCATATCCGAGAGGTGGTAATAGCATCAGATCGAAGTCTAGAGGACATCACTAGTTAGCTAAGAACCAGTGTGCGTTGTACAAGGAATAATAACATTGGAAGAGAGACTGTCTGAAGCTCAAGGAAAAAGAGAATAGCAAGAAGAATGGCTCGAAGGCAAATGAGGTGAATGTTGCAAAAGACGATGATTTCGATGATTCGAGATTTTTTCTATTGATTACTCCGGAGGTGAACTATGTGGATGCATCAGATTGGATGCTTGATTCTGACGTTACTTATTATGTGACTCCCAGGCGAGATTGGTTTGCATCATTTGAGAGACTCGATGGGGTGTTATTATCATGGTAAATGATTAATCATGTGGTATTTGTGGGATAGGTACCATAAGAATTCAGATACACGATGGAGTAGTCCGTGAATTGAAAGAGGTGAGATTTATTCCTCAACTGAAGAAGAATCTTATTTCTGTTGGAGTTTGGAGGCAAATGGATTCAAGGTGACCTTTGAAGATGCTATAGGAAAGGTTACTAAGGGAGCTTTGGTGGTGATGAAGGGAGTACGTAGTTGAAACTTGTATTATCTAAAAGGGAGCATCGATGTTGGCCAGGTAGCTTGAACTATTTCAGAGGCGAACATGAGTAGATTTTAACATAACAGGTTAGGACACACAGGAGAAAAATCACTATAGATTTTGTGCAAGCAGGGGTTATTAAAGGGAGCCAAAGAGTGGGAAAATTGAGTTTTGTGAGCATTGCGTTCTTGGCAAGAAGACGAAGGTGAAGTTCGAAACAGTCATCCATAGGACGAGGGGCATCCTGGATTACGTGCACACAGATGTTTGGGGTCCCACCAAGACTACATCACTTGGTGGTCGACATTGATTCGTCACGTTTGTTGATGACTATTCTAGGTGTTGTTGGGTGTACACCATGAAGCATAAGAATAAAGTCCTAGAATTATTTGTGAAGTGGAAGATAAGATTGCAACCGCAGACTGGGAGAAAGATCAAGACGTTGCGATCCGACAACAGCGGTGAGTACATATCAGACCCTTTTCAGTAGCTATGTCGAGACGAGGGCATAGAGAGACACTTCACAGTCAGTCATATACCGCAGTAAAATAGGGTGGCGGAGAGGTTGAATCGATCTTTACTAGAAAAGGCCCGATGCTTATTATCGTAGAGTGGTTTGGAGAAGATCTTTTGGACTGAGACATTATCATATGCGAGCCACCTCATTAACAGGCTGCATTCATCTACGATTAAAGGGAAGACCCCTATGGAGATGTGATCGGGAGAGCCAGCACACGACTATGACCAACTCAAGGTATTTGGATGCCCTACATTTTATCATGTGAGAATAGATAAATTGGAACATCGAGCTAGGAAGGTCATATTTATAGGATTCAAGCGTGGTGTTAAGGGATACAAACTATGGGATCCAGTGGATAAGAAGATTGTGCTAAGTAGAGACGTTACTTTTGATGAGGCTTCTATCTTGAAGTTTCCCATCTCTTACAAGGTGGAGAGCACCCCGACAGAGGAGATATCGTAGGTGGTGAAGATTGATGCAGCTCTATAGTGTACAAGTGGTACCGTGTCCACTAGAGTGTCGACTGAGGTGACGCCAGGCGAGCACGATAGTAATTTGGAGGATACGGGTATAGATGAGCAGGATTATGGACTGACGGCTCAGGTTTAGGATTCTATTGCAGTTCGGAAATAGAGGAGAGACATACAGATGCCAGCACGGTATACAGACACAGTAGTTGCGTATGCACTTCCAATGGAAAGTATCGATGAGATGGTGCCTACTACGTTCAGAGAGGCTGAGTAGAGTTCAGAGGCTAATTCGTGGCAGGTAGCTATGCAAGAAGAGATGGAGTCTCTTCGTAAGAACGATACATGGGAGCTTGTTAAGCTTCCAAATGGGCGGAAGGAGATTGGTTGCAAGTGGATATACACAAAGAAGGAGGGCATTAAAGGCACTCTAGTGAGGTTCAAAGCTAGGTTAGTTGTAAAGGGCTATGCACAGGAGGAATGTATTGATTACAATGAGGTTTTCTCTCCGGTGGTGAAGCACTCTTCGATTCGGATTTTGCTAGCTTTGGTGGCATAATATGATTTGGACTTATACCAATTGGATGTGAAGACATTATTTTTTATGGTGATCTTGATGAAAAAATATATATGACTCAGTCATTGGGATTCTGAGCTACAGGGAAGGAAAAGTTGGTTTGTAGGTTAAAGAAATCGCTATACGGTTTAAAGCAATTTCCTCGACAGTCGTATAGGCGATTTGATGGTTTCATGATTGGTCATTCGTACACTCGGAACCAGTTTGATCCTTGCGTGTATTATTGTAAGTTAAAAGGAGGTGCGTATATTTATATGTTACTTTATGTCGATGACATGTTGGTTGTTTCTATTTCCAAATCCGCTATAGATGAGTTGAAGGAACAGCTTTCAAAAGAGTTTGAGATGAAGGATTTGGATGAGGCAAAGTGCATTTTGGGGATGGAGATCGGTAGAGACAAAGAGAAGGGTAGAATTTGTTTGACATAGGTGGCTTATTTGAAGAATGTTCTATAGCGGTTTAATGTTATCATGGATATGAAGCCAGTTCATGTACCTTTGGGAGCCCATTTGAAACTTACAGCTGACCTTTCATCGAAGACAGTTAAAGATAGAGAGTTGATGTTGAAGACTCCATATGCGAGTACAGTTGGGAGCTTGATGTACATGATGGTATGTACGAGGTTGAATTTTTTACAGGCGGTGAGCATGGTTTCGAGATACATGCACGATCCAGGAGTGGGTCATTGGGACGCCGTGAGATGGATTTTGAGGTACGTTCGAAGTACTCTCAATGTTAGTTTATTTTTTGAGTGGGACATTAGAGGTAGGCAGTTGTGCATTAGCTATGTTGATTCAGATTATGCTGGTGATTTGGATAAGCAACAGTCTACGATGGGATATGTGTTTACTTTGACCTGTGCGCCGGTGTGTTGAAGATGCACCTTACAGTCTACGGTGGCTTTGTCGATAATAGAGGCAAAGTATATGGCAATTACGGAGGCTGTCAAAGAGGCTATTTGGCTTCGGGGACTTTTGGAGGAACTTGATATATCGTAGCGGTTCATCACTCTTTATTGTGATAGCATGACTGCTATCTATTTGGTGAAGAATCAGGTTTTTTATACGAGGACAAAGCACATTGACGTTCGTTATCATTTCGTTCGGGATGTTCTTGAAGATGGCGATGTGAAATTGCGAAGGTCCACATGAAAGATAATCCGACGGATATGCTCATAAAGGTGATTCGGAGCAACAGGTTTGGTCATTGTCAAAACTTATTACATATTCGTGATTGTTGAGGCAGTTGACGACCATTTGGATGAACTACGGATGGCTTGATCCCTTAGGAGAGGGGGTACGTAGGTATTCATTTTAATGCAACCGGTTTCATGAGTTGATACCGACATTTTTTGGAGTTTATTCGCATTCTCATTTGGGTTCTCGAGTTGTTGTAGATTGAGTCCGTTGTTGTGAATTTATTCCACTTTGTACTAGGCACAACAAGTGGGATATTTGGTTGGTATTAGTATCGGCTCAATTTTGGAAAAACTTTACCGAGATGGAGAATTGAAGAGAAAACAACAACATTCAGGAAAATACAGTCGGACGGTTTTTGGTTCTGTCCGATCGACCGCGACCAAGGGTGCGGTCAACCGAAAACGTGCACGAGTATATGGTAGTTTCTGGATCTCTGTCCGGTCGACCGCGGAGTCAAGTGCGGTCGACTGCGGATCCTGTAATTGGTTTTCTAAGTCCGGTCGACCGCGGCGTCAACTGCGGTCGACCGCCTATCGAGTTTGGTCCTGGGCTTTGTTTCCTGTTTTTATTTGGTTTGTGTTTTGATATATATTGAAACACGATTTTAGGGTTTGAGATATCAGAGAATAGAGAGTATTCTGAGCACTTTGAGAGGGAGAACTTGTGAGCAAGTTGAGAGATCTTTGGTTAGGGTTTGTTCGAGTGTTTGAGTGATTGTAACTCTTTTGTACTCTCCTCGATAAAGTGAAATCTCCCTATCCTCTCCCCGTGGACGTAGGTAAATTGTCGAACCACGTATATCTTTGTGTTTGCGATTGGTTTGTTGTATTTATTTGGATTGTGCCTGTGTTTGGTTTGTTAATCTTCTCCCGTGGCTTACGGACTCGTTCGGTGTGCGAGCACGCTTCCACAAAGCTACGCAACAGTATATACATTTGTATGATTAGCAAGTGGCTTGTCCAAACAAGAATTGTATTATGACCCATCATATAGTTTCAAAGTTGAGAGTAAACTTCTACTCTGTCAGACAAAGCTTTATCTCTTAAATTATGGTGCAGCTTACTCAACCCTTGACCTAAATCTAATCTACTAGAATTGTATTATGATCCCTCAACATGACATTAATATCCTTTTTTTTAACTCAACCTATTCCAATCATTAGTAGTAGAAGCTTAATACAATCTTAACACAACGCAAACTGCATGCCGTCAACATAAAATTACTATATCTTTTTCTCATCGCTTTTTTAATTCAACTACTCCTATCATGAGTAGCAGTAGCTAAATGCAATGTCAACAAAATGCAAACTGTCCATCAACATAAAATAACTAATAAATGAGACAATCGGCACTTGAACGCTGTAACCAAACAAGAATCCAAATCTTCAAACCCGACCAATTTAAAATAACAAACAAGAGGAGACCAACCATGAGCCCATCCCTCACCAAACTTGTCTCATAGCTAACCCTGGAAACAAGAAGCTAATTATGATTTGATTCCTCATCACATCCTTCCACCCCTCAAAGGAAAGCTATAAATTGGACAGTTTGTGCTGGCAGGGTAGACTACTTGAATCACTATATCCATATCTTCAGCCTTTCTTCCTGCGCTAATTCGAGAACAGACAGTGGATAAGATTTACTGAATAGTTTCTTTTTCTTCTGTTGATCAATGGAGATCGAGTCTGTGAACTGTGAGTGTTGCTCTTTAAGAGAGGACTGCACTCAGGCGTACATTGCCACTGTGAAGGAAAACTTCGACGGAAAATGGCTCTGTGGATTGTGCTCGGAAGCGGTGAGGTATGAAGCAGGGAGAGGGAGGAGGAGCAAAGAGTTTAAGGTGGAGGATGCTTTAGGGGCACATATGTCATTGTGCCGGAACTTCAGATCAAATCCGGCCGTCCATGTGGCGGATGGGATGAAGCAGATGCTCCGGAGGAGGTCTGGTGTGGCAGTGGCGGTTGATGGTTCGGCGGCCATGAGGTTTGGGCGGTCAGTGAGTGCATTAAGGTAGGCTGAGGATTTTTTAAGTATGGTGTGGTTTTTTTTTTTTCTTCTTCCATGAATAGTTGTGTATTGAGGGTTTGATCTAAGTGAAAAAGCCAGAGCCTGGGCTTATTTTTTATGACGAATGAAATCATTAGAAATGGTGAATAACTGGGATAATTGGTTGCTATAATTGTCGTTCAAATGGATTCTTGGAGACTTGATTACATCGTTCACATGAGTTCAGGGGCTCTGAGTACGTAGTTGAATTCGCATTCATTTGATATATGACCTTGAGAATATTTTTGAAGCTTAAGATATCTAATTGTATAAAATATAATAACGTAGAAAATATATAACAGCAAACAGGAAGAAATATGCAAGCTAGAGATAATTGACCTCCCATTTAAAGGAACATAAAAGCCCATCAAAATGCAGAGGAAAACAGCACCATGCTATTATATGCTTACATAAATACATGATGACAAGCAATCGATAGAGCAAAAAATCTGAAGAAAAGAACTACCATGATCTGAAGAAACATGATGTACCATGATCTCGTCAAAAACCATTATATCACAGTTTTCAACTCAGTTTTCAAATCAATAAAAGAAAAGGAAACAAAAACGTAATGTTTATTTCTTGTCTTTGGTTACTAGAAAAAATTGAAGAAAAATTCAAAGGAAAATAGAAAATTCTTTTTGATTATTTGATTGCTCAATGAATAGCAAAAAAAACAAGGCGGCTTCCCATAAGAAAAAGCTTTATACCATTGCATCATAAGGTCACCGTCTGCAACTGAAGAGAAGTTTAAATACATACGATGAAACTAAGTAGCATGTCATCAGAAAGGAAAAATACACACCCAAAATAATAATAATAATAATAATCCGCGCAAGACCCAGAAAATGTACAGTTATCTACTATGGCATTAAAAAAGTTTTCCTAGCATCACATAACCACAGCTACGATCAAATGTCCAAGGTATAACTTCCAACCAGCAGACCAAAATTCCAGCGAGCTCAAAATAGTGAAATCTATATATGAGTTCTAACATTGACATATAATTGTCAACACAATTACATACATAACCATCTGTGCCAACACAATTGTTTACCAGCTAGGCACAAAATAAATAAACTAAGATTCTAAACAAGCAAATCTCAGTAACCCCACAAGAACACAAGGACATCTCTTCCTCATTTTTTTGCGCTTTCGCTTTAACCTCTTTTCTTGTTTCTTGCACTAAAGAATAACCAAAAAGAGAAAATATAAGTTGAATTCAACTTAAAGAGAAAATTCAGAGCAATTAAAATAGTGGATCTGGAATTATAAACATTTCTGAAGAAAGCAATAACATAACACTACAGTAATATTATAGGTTATACATTGCATTCACTTCTCAATGAACTCGAGATTGCACAACTTAAGATATGTGTTTAAGAAATTGCAAGTAAACAAAATTTAGCAATAAAATTTGTAAATTGACATAAATTACCTCCCAACACCATTGTGTGATGTCCATCCAAGCTTTAGCTCCAACCATCTTTTCCTTCGTTGAATTGGCAGTCCAACGAAGGTCCTTCCTCGAACCGCATCCCCACAAAGAAAATCATAAGCTAAAAGTTGAGAGTCCTCATTGAGGCCTTCAACTTTTAAAACCTCATCAAATAACTTCTCTTCTGTGAGAGCACGATGACCGCATTTCCAAATGGCATATGTAATTGCATCCATCCCACTTTTTAGTATTTGAAACTCCTCATCCATGTTGGTAGTGGTTTCATGTTTTCTTTTATATGTCAATTTAGGAGATGTTTTCGATGTAGAAAGTAAATTGGTATCTTGTTCTTTACTATTTGAAAGCCTCATACATTCTACATCCTCTTCTTTATCAGTCTCCTTATCACCATCTCGATCAACATTTATAGAACTCGACTCACCTCTCTCATTTTCTAGCTGAACGCATCTTTCTTTGACAGCCTCTGACTCACCTCTCTCATTTTCTAGCCGAACACATCTTTCTTTGATAGCCTCCAACTCACCTCTCTCATTTTCTCGCCGTACCCGTCTTTCTTTGACAACCTTAGAAGCTAAGTCAGTAATTCCATCATTACCATATATGACTTGTAAATTCTCAAAGCATGGTACAGCTTTGTACCGATATTGCTTAACTCCAGGATGTGCCTATAAGAATGAAGAGACAAATTTGGCATTAATATTCAAAATAATAATAATATATGAGCTCAACTACTATCCACTATTGGATTCGAGCTCTTGTCCACATACTTTTTATCCACTGATTTTGTTTTGAGATTCATGAAACACATCGACACTATCTTTGAGATATGTGCTTTAATGTGTATTATACTAGCATGAATCCCAAAGCAAAATAAATGGAGAAAAGTTAGATGGACAAGAGCTCTTATCCACTTAAGTGGATAGTTACCCAACTCCTAATCTAATTTAAATGGTACCAATATTGTGATTCAATAACTTACATTTATATAATCTTCCCAAACTTGTAGCTCAGCATCCATCATTTTTGTAATTCTATTAAATACAAAACCACTGTTGGAATTCAGCATAGCTTGAAAGACACTGAAATCCTTTTTCAGTGTCTTCAACCGGTTTCTTACATGTGACTCATTAATCTTTATCCCACATTTAGCGTATAAATGTACACATACTGCTTCATAAGCATCATTTTTGAAACTCTTATCGCACTTCTGTCCTCTGTGTATCTGTTCAACAAGTGCTTCACTTAAGCAACTATCCATCTCTCTAGTCCAAAATAGGTTCTTCTTTGAGCTTGATTGGGTTTCAAGTTGTGAATCGATATGGGTTACCTACAATTAGAAGAAGTAGAATATGTATCCAATAACCATCAGAATAATCAATATGTCTGATCTGCTTCAGTTATATTTACCAAACATACAAATTTCAGTAATTGGCACTCCAATCATAATGGATATTTACAATTTTAATGATTCGGAGCTCCATCAATTGGTAGAACTCATGAAGTTACATTTCAAAACCATGAGGCTGGGTGCAGGGTGCAGTAAAAGAAGAGGGGAGGGATGAGGTTCGAAATCAGCTACAAGATACAAATTTGATATGCAGATAATGAAACCTCGTAAAAGTTGCATATTGATCAGAAATACTAAAAAAGGCAAATAAAACCAGATCAAATGACAAGCAAAGAAAAGGGCAAAGATGTTCCTCTATAGTAACACTAAAGTTAAATAGACGACGGCAAACAACATTAAAAATTCAGTCATCCACCATAAATCTAAATCTAGATCTAGTTGATATTTGTCCACAACAGATAGATATCTATGAGAAACATTAAAGTTTACATACAACGGTACTTTGTCAAATGAAGTAGCCTAAAGATAAGGTGTATTATATCCACTTGAGAGAATTTTAGGCATCTCTAACCTAACGACTGTTTAAGAAGTGGTCTCTCTGTATATATCAATCAAAACCAAGAATAATTTCTTCGAATATTTATAAACCATTCCTCTCCTTCAGGTAAGAAGAACTGTATTTTTTTTTAGGCTGAGAAACCATAAACCCTTAGGTTTCCCCATAATGTAGGAGCCAACTTGCATTTTTTCCCCTTAAAAATGTTCAAATTTTTCTTGAATACCTATTAGTAGATATTCTATCAGAACATCCCATAGAATGGGGTGACCTATACCATTCACGAGCTGTTAAAGGATTAATTTCTGAATTTTAGCTATTTTGTTTTAATGATGCAAAGAATCCCACTCCTATACGGGTGGTTCTCATCGAATTCTTCTTCCAGATAATGATCACATTTCCAAAAAAAAATCGGGGGTTATCTCAAAATGAGCCAAATTTCTTGGGGTTTTTTGTGAAATTCAAATGCAAATTGAGAATTTTATCATGCACATATACCAAGTCATGTAACTGTATGTACTGCATCATTTACAACATACTTTGTCTCATTTCTCATCCTCTTTTACAATGAATTATCAAAGCTCACACGACAATTCACCAGTAAGATCAAATTAAGCGATTATATTGTCAAACCGAAAACAAATCAGATAATTTTAAACCCAAACCCACTAGAATTTTTTGCACAAATCATTCAAACAAAAGCTTACCTCTAATGAATCAAACGAAGAATTCTTCGCTTGGGCCATTTCAGTGACAGTGCTCGGATCTGAGAGTAATAGAACCCTTCATTTGTGAACACGAAAAATCCCACAAAAAAAAATAGGAAACACATAAGAGAAGAAAGATGAGTGAAGAATAGCAGCGATAAGAAAAAGAACAAAACTTTAATCTGAGAGTAATAGAACCCTTCATTTATGAACACGAAAAATCCCAAAAAAAATAGGAAACACATAAGAGAAGAAAGATGACTGAAGAATAGCAACGATAAGAAAAAGAACAAAACTTTACCTCCTTAACCGCGAGAGAAGAGAGAGAGTCCGTGAGGAATTGGGGAAGAGACGAGAAGATGTTTTCTCTTCTTTTCTCTAGGGTTTGGTGGGAGAAAGCGAGAGAAAATTATCTCCCTTTTTTTCTCTCACTTTCTTTTATTTTCTATTTTCGTTTCCTTTTGGAAGTAAATATTTTTTTTTCGTGGGAAACTTTCCTTTTGTGAAATATTCTGCCTTTAATAACCTAAAATTTCACAAATGTTTTTTTCTTTTTTTTGTGTCCAAGAGTATCTCAAAGTTCATCCAAATTAACTTGACATTTAAATATCTCAAAGTTTTAGCAGCTTTTTAGGCTAAATAGCAGGTGTATACCCCCTTGTTTTACAAATTTTTCACTGATATATCTCAACTTATATTTGTTAGCAAAAGAATATCACAAAAATTTTGAAGTTGTGCTTACATACCCCGACTTTTTTGGTGTCACTTAAATACACTAGAGTTTTTACAACTAGAACTTGAATATCCTAAATTTTTTAAAACTGGCACATCAATACCATTAGTTATGCCAACTTGAGGGTATTTGACTGCCAATATAGAAACTTTAGGATATTTAAATGTCAAATTTTAAAACTTTAGGGTGTTTAAGTGCAAATTTTAATTACTTTAGGGCATATAAGTGCTATTAAGAACAACTAAGGATAGGTAGATGTAAGTTTAAAAAACTACAGAATATTTTCTTGCAACCAAATACAAATGAGGGTGTATAAGTGTAAAATAGATAATCAATAGGGTATATAAGTGCTATTTAGCCTACTTTTTATTATATATCCTATGTTAAATTTCATCGCACTTATATATCACATTTCCTCCGTTTAATTTAGCAAACAATATTAATTGTTTGACTAAAAAAAAGATAATATCCTTGGTCAGGTACACACAAAAAAATTATCAAGGGTATATAAAGCCTAAATCGATCATGTGACAATCACATGAGAATATTCAACTAAACATCAACACAAAAAAATTATCAAGGGTATATAAAGCCTAAAACGAGCTATTTTTTTAAAAAAAAATTAATTTTAAAAAGGAAAAATTACTTCTAGGCCCCAAATTTATATTTTCAATGTGCCCCAGCCCCTCCTATTTTTTTTAATGTTCTTTAGCCCCTCCTTTTTGAAAAAAATGTGTCCAAGCCCCTCCATCACTCCTCTATCATGATTCCAGCTCATTTCAGCAGTTGATTAGACATGCCAGCTCATGATTAGACATATCAGCTGACTTAAATATCGAATTTACCCTCCTCTTTCTCATGTCAGTGGATGTTAACTCTTTTCTGTAACATGTTAACTCTTTTTCTGTAACATGTTAACTCTTACAGATAACATGTTAGTTCTTATAGGTAACATGTTAACTCTTACAGTTAACATGTTAACTCTAACAGCTAACATGTTAACTCTTACAGCTAATATGTTAGCTGTAAGAGTTAACATGTTACAGAAAAGAGTTAGCATTTTACAGAAAAGAGTTAACATGTTACAGAAAAGAATTAACATTAATGTGCCCACGCGAAGTTCCTCGGGACGACGCCGGCGGCGGAGTGGGGGCGGGGGCAGAGGGGGAACGGAGGAGGAGGAGGGGGGTGTAGGGGAGGGTAAAATGGGGATTGTGTATGGAGTTTGCATGAGAACTTAGGGAGAGTGGCTTTTAATAATTTTTTTTAAAAAGAGAGGGCTGCAGCACATGTTTGAAAGTTGGGGGGGCTAGGGCACATTGAAAATATGAATTTGGGGCCTTGAAGCAATTTTTCCTTTTAAAAATGTCACGAAATACAACTAGTGATATATATAAGTAAAAATAGGTTGAACTTCAAAAGTTTCAGTCAGCCAGTTAACTTTAATACATTTCCTCAACTCACAGTTCATCCATCATCATGAGTAGCGCGATAGTAAAATGAATAGAAAGTAGGGAGTAAAGAAAAGTACTTTTTGAAGGAAATATTTTCTTTTCTGTTTCTTTTCGCAAATATTATTTGGATAATAGAAAATGAAAAAGTAGAAAGTTTACATTGTAACTGATGTGGCGTCCACGTGTATAAGTAGAAAATAGGTTTTTAAATAAAAAAGACATACAAGGAAAAAAAAAAGCGTCATGTGGTTATTATAGTAAGCTTACTCATTGATAATATTATCTTTAAAAAATTATTGAGAAATATATATGTAAGAAGCAAAGTCAATTAACTAGAAAATTGCACATCTTTGACAATTACTTGACTTGGTTAAATTAGTATTAATAAAATATTATATTTATTGAAGATGATATACGTTACAAAAATTCTAAAAACAGTTTAGTAGAAGTATTTTTGGAATAATCATTTGCTATCTTGATGTCTATATGCACTTCTAACCTTGTTATATAAGGTTTATATAAGGTTTGAGAACAGATTTGTGTAAGCAATCTCAATGAAATTCCATATAACTAAATTAATAATTCATAAATTACATATCTTCATGACGAACTTGATTAACCTTCTCCAAATGATCACCGATTTTCATAGTGTCATCCATAGATTGATTTTCCATTATAGAAAGAGTTTTCTACAAGCGATTAGCTTGCACCTTTCGGCTAGACAGGTTGAATTGCAGTCTCACTTGTAGGACCTTGGAGGAATATATGTATGAAAATGCTTTTATCATCCCTTGAGATAAAACTTTTCACCTCACCATGTAGATTTATCACTAGCCATGATTCTCCACATTAATATGCAATAAATCTATAATAAAAACATACACATGACCTTTGGGTTTTCTAATAAGTTACAAAGATTTAACATAATTAGAAAATTAAATATATCAGTAATATTTTGAAATCATTAAAAAATCTTACAATTTGTACATATAATATCACGGACTTCATAATGTCGTGCAGCTTGTGCCTTATGTACCGTTGTGAAAATCATCTAATTTATATAATGTTTTGCCTTATATAATAGGATAAATATCAGAAAACCCCCTTAACTTTGGACAATTATCCCTCTTAACTTTCAAAATATCATAGTTGCATTACTTATAGCTTCCTTGTTCGTAGACAAAGCTGAATCGGAATTTCTTTCATTCCAAGCATAACTTGGATCCATGCGCTTCATATTAGCCTGGAGTTCGCTCCCAGCAATATAGCCATCCCTACCCTATCACGTCAATCCCACAAGCCTCTTATCCATTCTCGTTCGATCGCTGCGGGGGAGCAAGTCAAAATAGAAAAACTCACATTGGGTTTAGGGATAATCAGGCTCGAACTGATGACTTCCACCACGTCAAGGTGACACTCTACCGCTGAGTTATATGCCTTCCCGGGGGCCCATCGAGAAATAGAACTAACTAATCCTAAGGAAAATGGTTGAGAAACTCAACGCCACCATTCCTGAACAACTTGGAGACGGGTCTTCTTTTCGCACTATTATGGATAGTAAAATAATGGGAAAAATTGGATTCAATTGTCAATTGATCCTATCGAAAATTGGATTGACTACGGATTCGAGCCATAATGGTTTCATAAAATCCGTACGATTTTCCCGATCTAAATCGGTTTCATAAAATCCGTACGATTTTCCCGATCTAAATCGAGCAGGTTTTCCATGAAGAATATTTTTTTTCAGCATGTTCTATTCGATACTGTTAGGAGAAGAACCCGACTCGGTATTGTTAAAAAAAAGAGGGGAAGCAGAACAAGTCAAGATGATATGGATCACCCTTTCTTCTTGCGCCAAAGATCTTACCATTTCCGAAGGAACTGGAGCTACATTTCTTTTCAATTTCCATTCCAGAGTTCCTATGTATTTCCACGCCATTTCATTTTTCGAGGTCTCAAAAAAAAAAAAATGAAATGGACAAATTCCTTTTCTTAGGAACACATACAAGAAAAAGGATAATGGTAACCCCACCATTAACTACTTCATTCAACCTGCTCTAATAGGCAAGTCCTATATCCTAAAATTAATTCATCAAGTTGATGATAAAATTCATGGATGTTCGAGTGGACATTATGCACTTGTTACACAACAACCCCTTAGGGGAAGGGCCAAGCAGGGGGGCCAACGAGTAGGAGAAATGGAAGTTTGGGCTCTAGAGGGATTTGGTGTTGCTCATATTTTACAAGAGATGCTTACTTATAAATCTGATCATATTAGAGCTCGTCAAGAATTACTTGGTGCTACGATCATTGGAGGAATAGTACCTAACCCTGAGGATGCTCCAGAATCTTTTCGACTGCTCGTTCGAGAACTACGATCTTTGGCTCTAGAACTGAATCATTTCCTTGTATCTGAGAAGAACTTTCAGATTAATAGGAATGAAGTTTGATCTGAATGAATCACAATTTCTATTCTATGATCGACTAGTATAAACATCAACAACTTCGAATTGGACCAGTGTCTCCTCAACAAATAAAGGTTTGGGCCAACAAAATCCTATCCAATGGAGAGATAGTTGGAGAGGTGACAAAACCCTATACTTTTCATTATAAAACCAATAAACCGGAAAAGGAGAGGTGACAAAACCCTATACTTTTCATTATAAAACCAATAAACCGGAAAAAGATGGATTGTTTTGTACATATAGGGATTATCACAAATTTAAAGGGGGCTTTCTGATTATCCCTAAACCTAAGAGGGTATGATATTTTAAAAGTTAAGGGGGTTTTCTGATAATTGTTCAAAGTTAAGGGGGGTTTTATGATATTTAGCATATATAATATTAGCATTATATAGTTCATATGATGTTGTGACTTTATGTAGGCTATCCAATTGGGACTGCAGCCCGGACCCGAGAAAAGCCTTAAAATCAGTCCAAACTGGGCTCTAGGCCCGGGTCCGTGTAGGTTTGGCGAAGCCTAATCAGAGCCCGGCCCCGCCCGAGTTCCATAGTGCCGGGTCAAAATATCCGGGTCCGAAATGGCCCGGACCCGGAGCAATCTAAGGAACCGATAACGACTCCCTAGTTAGTCGTTGGACCGGACTAAGCTAAGAAGTCAGGGCCCAGCCTAGATTTGGACTCCGTCCAATGACTAAAAAATAGCCGTTGGACCGGGCAGCTCGGACCTAGCCCGGTACAACGGTTAGTTTTCTAGCCATTGGACCAGGTTTCTCCCAACCCGGCCCAGATCAGGCAGGGTAAATAGCCTATAACTACTATTTTTGGTCAAATAACCAAAATACCCTCAAAACAGTCATAAACAGCCAAAATTTGAGAGTATTTTGGTAATTGGGCTAGGGGTTGCCTCTATAAATAGAGAGGGTTTTGATTTATTTTTCTCATCCAAAACTCATCTACTTCTCTCTATACTCTTTTATTCTCTGTAATACAGTGTATACTCTCTTGTTCTCCTCTTATACTTTCTAATACTCTCTAATTCCAATGGCTTCCTCCTCCGACTATGAAGGGAAAAATCCAACTCTGCAAATGAGTCATACAGCTGCTCCTACTACTAATGTTGGTGTCAAATCTCACGATGATCCAACCTCTAGAGCTTATAAAAGGCCTAGATCCACTGTGTGAAATCTCTTTGAGAAGATAGAATTTACCAGGGATCAACACGGCAAACTTCTCACCCAAAAGGCCAAATGTGCGTCATACGGCAATATCTTTGAAGCTCATTATAAGAGTAGCACTAACCACCTCATATGCCATTTAGAAAAATACAATAGAGGGCAAGCAATGTCCCAAGGCGACATCCGTCAATCTCTACTCTCTCAATTATCTTCATTCCGTAGTCTCGGTTGATAGAACTATGACGCAATTAAAGTTGAGAATGCGTCATCAGGTTTATTATTCTTAAAAATCTTCCTTTTAAATTAGTAGAACATGATGAATTTGAGGATATGATTAGAGATGGTTTTTATCCCATGCTTCGAAAATTTTCTCGTTGATCTTGCTAATGTGAAATTTTGAAATATTATCACGAGGAAAAATTAAAAAATAATTTCTTATTTTCAATGCTTAAACTGTAAATTTTCTCTAACTTTTGATATTTGGACATCTTGAGTACAAACTGGTTATTCATGTATCACAGCACACTGAATTGATGATACTGGGCAAATGTTTAAGAGAGTTATTTTTTTTCTTTTGAAGATTCACACACTGGTATAAATATTACAAATTTAATAATGGAAGAACTTTTAAAATTAGAAATTTATGAATAAACATTTTCTCTTTCATTAGATAATGCAAGTAATAAGAATGTAGTTGTAGATCATATCAAATCATTTTTGTTATTACCATGGCAGGGTTTTCATATTAGGTGCATGTTTCATATTTTAAATTTAATTGTTCAAAGTGCATTTAATGAAATTAAACTAATGATAGAAAAAGTTAGGGTTATAGCTTATGCTCATAATACTTCTGAACAAAAACTTAGAAGATGGAAACAATTGTATAGAAGAAAAAATATAAAATCTAAGTTAATTCTAAAGATGTTGCCCACAAGTATAATTCCACCTATGCAATGTTAAATGTAGCAATGTAGTGTAAAGAATTTATAAATAATATTGTTGTTTTCTACACTTCTAGTCCTAACTCTGGTAATATGTATGGCATAACTGATGATGAGTGGGTAATTATAGGTTTTGTAAAAGAGATGCTACAAGTTTTTTATGAATGTTATTATTTAGTTGTTATTATCCAACTACTCAAGCTACTTTACAAGTTTTAAATATTCAAACTTTTTTAAAAAACTTATTGTATGGATAATTATTTTTCAAAGAGAATATTTGAAATGAAAAGCAAATTTAATAAGTATTTCAGATCTATCCCTATTATTTTTTGTTTGAGGATTCTTATTGATTCATGCTTAAAGGATATTAGCCTCCAAAGTTTGTTGAATTTTTTGTATGAGAATATGGTAATAGAAACTGATAGCGGTCATACTATTACAGCTCTTAATCATCATAACATTATTAAGTATTGTTTTCAAAGATTATTCAATGAGTTTGTAGGTAAATATGGTATAAGCACACCTCAACCTACAAGTTCTACAAGTTTTAGATGGGGGCAAAGGTAAGTTTTTTGACAGGCAATCGAGAATAGAGAGACTAACATGTATGGATAGTAGTCGTGGATCAATATCATCAACAAGGAAAATTTCTAAAATTGAACAATATTTAGCTGCATCTTTAGTTAAACCTCAAAATAATGATGATTCTGATATTCTGCAATAGTGGAAAGTATATGGAACAGTTTCATATATTATACTTTCCATCTTGGCTTGTGACTTACTAAAAGTGCATATTTCTACCGTAGCTTCAAAATCGGCCTTCAGCACATCAGGTTGTTTGATTGAGTCCATTGAACATTGTTGGATCCATCTACTGTATAAGCGGTAATATGCCTACAAATTTGGTGGAGGTACGAGAAGAAAACTCAAAGCATCGATGAGATTGGTAGTATTGAAGATAGACTGAATGAGTTGACGATATGAAATATAATGTAGAAAGTGTCATGCCATAGAAATAAGCAAGTGTTAGTCAAATTCAACTAATTGACACGTGTCTCAAGCAGACTACACACCAACTCGACCCAGACACACCGACTTCTCGTCTCCCTCGAAGGCTGAGATGAAAGGTGTTCCTTCCCGTCTCCCTCGAGGGTCGAGACGAAAGGTGTCACTTCTCGGCCCTTTCGCATAGCCGAGACAAAAGGCGGTCATTCTCGAACCCCGATCATTCTCGAACCCCTCACCGACAACCAATCACCATTATTAAATGCTCGGTTAGAGTCATCATTACATCCTCGCCTAAAGTCTTAAGGACTCATGAACCATGTCAGCGCCTTGAACCTTCTGTCATTGTCACATTAATCACAAGGGTGACTCGGACCCCTAATGTCGACATATGTAAACGTATCAGTTGACTAAGCCAATTGCATGGACCCAACCAAGATTATATAACTACCATCATCAACTCAGCATAAATACGCACATCATCTACTGACCAAATGTACGCAATTTCTGTACACTTGTAGAGAACTATATCAGTTTCTTTCTCCCCTTCGGATCATAACTAACTTGATCATCGGATGAATAATCGGAGAACCCAACTCTGGTCCCCCAACGCGTTGCATATATGTAGGACTCTCTTTTTATCAGGAGTTCAGTCATCAAAGGAGATCGAGGGACCCTATGCTCTTCAAAATCAATCCTAAATCCTACTGCTAAGTATCTAACATCAACAGAAAGTTATTTGTAATTTGTAATTTTTATTTTTTAACAGTAAATTAATGATAAGTTATTTTGGAAAGAGATGCCAATGATTGTAGTATATATGAGTAGGTGCTAACCTAATTCGGATATACTTAGCTACTGGGATGCGATAATTTCCAACAAAAAAAGTTATAATTGTTAGTAATTAATAATAAAGAATTTATTTTTTATTGATTTAATTTATATGAACTTTGAAAATTGTAGAATTATAAATAATTAATAATGAGATAGAATTTTTGTCAAAATTTCACATATTTTAGTTACCCCTAAAATTCCGTATTTTTTTGCAAAAAAATCTAATTTTTTAGCAATTTTTTTGGAAATTTTTTTTAATAAAACAAAAAAATCAGGGCCGCCTCGATGGCTAGCCCTGTTTAGTCCAAACCCGAACCCGCATCCAGATCCAGGCAGGGCATTTTGCCCGGCCTAGACCTGAAAATCCAGGCTAGGCCAGGCTGTGTGGACAAGCCTAACTTTATGCACCCAGGTCTTCCTCAAGTTTTGCAGGAAGTTAACTTGCAGGGAGTAAGAAAAAAAATAAAAAACAGAAAAATAAAATAAAAAAAGACACCTGATTTGAAGTTGAAGGTAACAAAATAATTAAAAATTATGTTCTCTCGCTCCTCTCTCTTCACTTTCCATCGACTTTCAACATAAATTAGAGAAAGTGAAAGGGGTTAAAATACTGATGTGGCATCTATCACTTTCTATTTACTTTCCAATCACTTCCCAAGTGCTAAACGAGAAAAAAAAATGAAAAGTGAAGCCATTTTGCAATTTTAAGTCTATTTTCCATTTATTTTTTGGTTGCCAAACATGTCTAGCTATTTTACACTAAAGATAACCCATTTCATCACCTTCATATATATAAATTAATGAAATTTTGCATTCAACTCTAGCAAGATCAATCTTTGTTTAACAATATTCACAACCGAAACAAACGCTACAACAATTATATGGTGTACTCTAGTAGGAAGAAGAAGAGAGCATTAATTTATCAATACTTGGGGGGGCTAAACTGCACTTATATACCCTATTGTTTGACATACGTTTCACTTATGTACGCCAGCCTGTATTTGGTAGCAAAAAAGATAACCCTAATGTTTTTTAAACTTGTACTTAAATACCCTCAAGTTTGCATTACTGAGGGTATTTTTGTGCAAGTTTTAAATATTTTGGGGCATTTAAGTGTCGGATTTAAATACTTTAAGATATTTAAGTGACAAATTTAAAAACTTTAGTGTATATACGTGCTAAAAAAATAAATCAGGGTATATAAATGCAAGTATAAAAAAAAACTTAACAAATACAAATGGGGTATATAAGTGAAAAGTAGATAAAAAAAATAGGATACATAAGTGCTACGTAGCCTTACTTGGGCACAGAGGAATACAATATGATGACTTTTAATAATATTTTACCCACTCTCCGTTATAAGCTAACGAAGTAAAAGTACACCACAAAGCTTTGGGGTATTTTTTGAGAAAAAGCTCAATATATCAAAATCAAAAACGATAAAATTTAAACATATTAAAATGCAAATAACCCTTAATTTTTCATCGAAATAAATCCCCCCCCCCCCCCCCCCCCACCACCAAAAAAAACCCAAACGAAAGAGAAACGCCCCCTAATCGGATCACTACATCCATACGCATTCCGCATATTTCTCTTTAATACCAACATGCAATGAGCTAGAAATCCCAAGATCTGAACCACTTTTATTGGAAGAAACCAGTCATATGTAAGGCTATTTTGCCATCAACAATCTCACCTACACTCGTACCTTTCCGTCAACCACCACCAATTGTTTGTTGAACCACGATCCATTTCCATAATCCACCGAGTCAATCTTTCTCACTAAAGAAGTCAATGCTAACAAAAGTGATGGATATTGGTAAAAGAAAGAAAATACCTGACTCCAAATCGACTCAAATTCATCGACAGGCTCAACCAATTGTTCATAGGATGCCCGATTTCACATTGCTAATCCCTCTAACTCAAATTTCTGATCCTCCACAATCGACTATTGAAGCAACAAGATACATTACAAAAGGATTAAGGATACATGGAAGAGTGTCAGAAATCAAAATTTCACAAGTTCTTGAAATATGTCCAGGAACTTATAACCTATACTGGGATCTCAGAATAATCCATCCCCTGCCATCAAATATAAGGAATATGTTGTCACAAGATTGAAGAAAAAAATAATGCAAATTAAGAAATACCTTGGGACATCTTGAGAACTAAGATAAAAAGGATTTAGCTGAAACAAAGATAGAACTGATGTAAAATAAAAACTCACGCAGTTCATCCAAGGAAATATTAGAAGCGCTATCACCAGATTTGATTAGTCGAACCTTGCCTACAGTGAGAAAGAAAATGTGATATAGATTTTGAATCAAGAAATCCATTTCATTCATCTGTAAGTATAGAATAAAACTCACTACTAATACAAGAAACTACAATTGAAGTAGTAGAAAATTGCTAGCATAACTTATTCTTGCTAGGGACAAAAACTACCTAAGCCAACATAGTGATAAGAAGAGAAAAGGCTTGGGCCACCAGTGAAGAATGAGATCAAACAATTGGAGGGAGCTCCTCCCTAGAATTAAGATATAGCAGGGAGGTGAAACAGATATTTTCCAGATAATTCAAATAAAACCTAATGGAATTTTCTTTCATTATGCCGCTTCCTTTCCATATGTTTTCCATCTACACAAGTGCTATACTTCACGAGGGCATTGTTATCCCTCTATCTATTAAGTTCCTCGAGTTGCAAAACATAGCATGCACAAAGATCCAGGCTCAGCTGCAGTTTTCAACCCTTGGAATTATGTGTGCATGCAACGATATATTCTTGTATTATTGTGTGCTGCAAAATAGTATGAAGCAAAGCATTAGCAAATACTAAACATGATTGGTTGAGGACACTTCGGTGAAGAGTTTTTCACGACATCCTTGTAGGCGTCAAAAATTGCCTATGGATTATCATACATAGCTCAAGGTGAAGAAGGCGATAAACGTCATCATCTGGGTTATAGAAGATCATCCAAACCCAAAGATCAACTAAGGGATGCACAAGAAGCGCATCATACAAGTTTCGGGGCACAAAACAGGTCTCAGAAGCTATGATAAGACTCATAGTTTCCGAGACAACTACAACTGTCTCGGAAGCTATGAAGGTAAATCATAGTTTCCGAGACACATGTAACTGTCTCGGAAACTATAGTGGACTTGGTGACGGTTTTCTCGAGTTTTGGGCGATCCACGTGGCTTCATAACTGCTGGGGACCATCCATAATTGTGAGGGAGACGTTACAAGCGAAAATCACGCCAATAACTGCTGAAATAATGACATTAAAACGTAGTGGGAACAGTTACAAAATGAATAGGAACGAAACATATTTCCGAGACAGTCGCGACTATCTCGGAAATAGGGATTTTGTCGACTTGTTTTGTTTCAACTTCAGACTTCAGTTACGTCTCCTATGAGCTATAAATACCCCCTAAGACCACTATTGACGAGGACAGAGCATACCAAGGCAGAGAGAGTAGAGACTTAAGCAATTTGATGAATTTTGAGCAAGAGAGAGAGTCTTCTTTGTTTTTAAGAAGAGTGTTTTATCTTACTTTGTTGAGATATTCACTTTTGTCCTTGTTTCTAAAACGAAACATCGACCTTAAGCCTTCTTCACGATTCAACTTGGATAGGTGATTCGATCGTCCACGGGCTAATGCACCCCCGGCACAGGCAAAGATCTCACGTAAGCAGCGAACGATAAATATTCATGCGTGTGTTTCTAGGTTTGTTTGTAACGAAAAGTCTTATAAAAAAAGATTTATTTCTCAGAATTCATTGTATTTGATAAACGAGTTGTAATGAATTCAATAAATAAACTAATTTCCGACGCAAACACGCTGGCGACCATAGTGGGAGCTGACGGTCTCACTGCCAAGACCGTCATGTCGCAACCGATCAAGATCCCAATTGATTCAATGGTTGAGTACAATTTCGACCAAACTAAGTTCGAGGAATCTCTCTCCTCGTCTTCATCAAAATCTTCCTCTCCCCGCAAGTGCAGGAGGATCTCACCATTGAAGAAGGCTTACACGCCAAAGAAGGCTCAAGGTGAAGACTCTCGCCTAATTGTTGCTGAGGCCTCCTGATGCGAAACGTGGGAGGGGGTCCATCGAAATCAGCGATCTAAATCAAACAATGCACCGTTTCGCCAAAATTCATGATCTTAGGCAGGAAATTTAATCTAAAACAGTTAATGTGACAAATGGATTTTAACAAGATTTGCAACGATAGTCATAAACAATCCCAATCTCGAATAATTTAATCGCAATATCAATTATCATTTTCGCAAGTTCTAAGATCAATATCAAGTTTAAGCAGTCACATGTTCAGATACTCTTAACTCACAATTATAATGTACGCAGTGAATATAAGACAAGAGTTTAGAGACGTATTATTCATGCAATTAACTAACAAAATGAAATCAACAGAAAAATAAGGGACGAAAGAAAACGAAACATTCGTCGGTCTGAACAGACTCGACGTGAGAGAAATCAACAGAAAAATAAGGGACGAAAGAAAACGAAACATTCGTCGGTCTGAACAGACTCGACGTGAGAAACCTCTAGAGGTGGTGCGACGACAACGGTGAACTAACGGCGATGATGAGGCGAAGATCCGATGACGACGAGTGCGACAGTGTTGAACTGATGACGACGCGGCGAAGGGATGAGGGCGGTGCGATGTCCCACGGGTAGTTGTCGGGTCGATGCAGGTGGCGGGCGTCGGGACGAGGCCGACAGCGATGTCAAGACGAAATAAACGGCGGTTCGAAGAGTGGAGGACGGAGGGAAATCAACGACTGTTGAGGTGGTTCTGACGGCTTACGGAGGCGGGAACAACGGCTACTCGAAGGTAAGGAAAGCAAGGAGAGATCGACAGCTTGTGGAAGAGAAGGGGTGGGGGCAGCGAGGCTGTGAGATGAACAGATGAACGGGAGAAGATAGAGGTTTGACGGCTAGAAGAAGAGGAACATGTATTAGCCTAGGGTTTCACACCCGAGGCTTAGGTTTCACACCAAAATTAAGCCAACTCAAATTTCATTTTAATTTTTAACAATTCATCGATTTTCAGTAGTCTCATACAACCTTATTTATAAAAAAACTACGTGCACATAACGTGCAATAAAAATAGAAACAAACAACAATCCCTCAAATCACTCATCTAAAATTAAACTAAATTTTAAAACTCAAATTTTAAATTTTAAATTTTAAATTTTAAATTTTAAATTTCAAAATTCAAATTTTAAATTTCAATTTTTAAATTTCAATTTTTAAATTTCAAAATTCAAAATTTAAAAATATATCAACTAATCAAATATTGCCATTTTTTGTCCTCATTATTCTCCCCGGGTGGGAGAAAACTCGACTCCGTCGAGTTAGCTGCAGAAACTTGTCATCTTCAACATACTCTGTATGCATCTTAATCTGCTGTCAGTTATTTTTTTGCACCTCAAATCATTAGCTAGATTGCATTGTAAATTCACCATCTAAAATATTATCAAAATTGACTGTTGTATGGATGAATATATATAAGTGGAGTAAAGTGAAAGAACTCTCATAAATAATAGGTTAGGATCAAGCTTATATCAGTGGACTACCAATAACATTATGAACTGTTTAATCACTTAATATTGAAAATAGAACTATGACCAAATCAATAAATGTTGCCATTAATTAGTTCAAGAGTTAGAAAAGCTCATAAATATCATGTCAAATGTTAAACAACTATAAATAAACTGTATTGGACAAGTCCGAAGCATCTAAAATATTAGCATTAATAGTTTTAAATTAGGTCCTGACTCAATATCATATATTTCAGTTAGCAATGTATTTATTCAAATTAGATCACTGATTCCCCAATATATAATCAATACAAAATAAAAAAAATGATGTAAATCAACTCAAATGATTATGATGAAATGCGGACTCAAACAATGTGATCAATAGCAGATGTAACTCAACGAAGTGTCTAAAATGCATGACGTCCTCTATCAAATGGAATAATTAGGTGTTCCTTCATTAATAATATGCATAACAAATTTCCTATTTTTGCAGTGATAATAAGGAACGTGCAAACACATGCATGATGGATGAGTGTTTTTGCGTGTTTTAACATGAGAGAGAATGAAAACACTCGTGCTCAAACTTATATCCCTAATTACTATATATTCCCAAAAATAGTCAGTGTATGTGTGAGTGACTATCGGAACAATGCATGAGGGTGTGACATCTAATATGGTAGCTATCTCACGATGCTCAATTTGGGATTCAACTTCCATACAAATATCTGAGTGACTCACTTTAGGAACCAAATCAGGAACGTGTTGGGTGTCATGTTGGTCCAAGAGGACTTCGTGGGGAATATCAACAACGTTTTCAATCACTGAAGTGAATTCAGGAGCTGGAGTTTCAATTTCAGGAACAGCTTCAAGGACAACATCAGTGAACTCCGTGATCAAAGGGGTAGCTTGAGGAATAGTTAGAGTGTTGTCATTGCATGAAAAATCAATTAACTTCACAATTGCAGGAGTAGTTTCAGAATGAACGGAAGTGCATGGTTCTTCAATTATACTATCCTGGATTTTCTTGTCAGAGTTAGATTCTGTCAGATCTACAGCCTGGTTAACAGTTTCCTTAATAATAGATTTTGATTCCGTTATAGGTGGCTTATTAATTCTAACTCTGAACGGAGTTGTACAGACGGAAGCAACGTGCACATATCATTGACAATTGTAACACTGCATTATTGGGCTAAGTTTGGAGAGAGATCTCTCTGACTTCTGACCCTTGGGATCGACTCTAGACTGGGAAGAACTAGGGTTAGATCGACTCAGAGGTTGACTATATGTATTGGCACGGGAAGACTGGGAGGGATGAGTTTGAAAATTCTGAGCCCTATGAGATTGATGGAATTTGGTTTCATCTAAATCTTGACCTAAGGCGTAAGCTCTCTCAAGGGTGTTTACTCTTCTAGCAAAAAATTCGGCTTGGAGGTCGGTTCTTAATCCAGCTCTAAATTTTGATAAGACTTTCATCGGTGCCTCTGATTCAATGGTGCTGCATCGAGTAAACAATTCATCAAATTGAGCAACGTACTCTTTTACAGATTTGACTCCCTGAGTAAGACAATGCTACTTATCTAGCAATCTATAAATAAACGATGGCGGAAGATATTTCCGTTTTAGTTCATCGACCATTTCTCGCCAAGTAAAAATTGGTAATTCACCTCTAATATGCCTTATCATTTCAAAGTTGGACCAATATTGACAGGCGGGTCCAATG